AAAGTTCTTATGATCATCATAAAGCCAATGAGAGTGGATGCACTGGATCAGTGAAACAAATACAACCAATTTTTACTAAATAGTGTTGATTAGACAATAGAAATAAAAAGGATCACTATATTTATGTAGAATTTTGTTTCACAGATTATTAGTGTTTCAATTTATATACTTGATTTATATTTGCCTCAAACACTCAAACTTCATTGTAAGCAAGTTAGAATAAAGCTGAGTGGTGTTTGAAAAATAATGATTTTTAAAATATGGTACTTGGAGGTGCTGTAGGAGTTCAAGTGTTAAAATTATAGAAATAGTTATTAACTAATATTTCAACTTACCTACATGCTGATCTTCTTTGCTTTTCGTCCTCTGTTTCCTTCAAAAGAGGACATTTCTATTGTTACATTTTTTCTTAGTAATCAACATTTCATCTACCAAATTCAGTGCCGAAACTCTTCTAAGCCATATGTAGGAATAAGTGTAACACAATAAAACAATTCAAGATTATAGTTATCAATCCTCTAGAGATTATTAGACGTTCACAACTTGAGAGCTGGTAAAAATTGTCATAAAAGCTACGACTTAGAGTCCAAATTTTGACATATAACCGCCAAATCCAACAAACCGGAACCGATTTTAATTGGCTTGAATTTATTATCACACATCACGCATTGCAAAGGGGCAGAATGGCTCTCAATAGAAGACTGTGTCAAGCTCTCTCTCCTTTCTCGCTCTGCCCCAAACCCCTTCGAGAGAGCCTGATACTCAGGCTATACACAGTCTACAAAATAACCACCTTGCTACAGTTTTTGGTAATTTTAGCGGAGCTCCCGCACGAGCGGAGCACCATAGCTAAGAAAAAATGGTATACCATCAAGTCGATTTTCCATGGACCGACACAGGGTTCCCGCGCCTACGAACGTTTCCTTCAGTCCTTCCTTCCGTCTGTCCTTCCTTCCTGGATTCTGTGTACCACCACAGGAAACCCATACTCCGCTCGAAAAGGAAACAAAGCGCTAAGTATTTGTTGAAAAATCGATTTTTTTTCCTTAAACATTTAAATTACATATTGATAATATTAGAACAATTAATCACAAGGAAAAAATCCACTAAAGAGCGAAATAACAGCACAGAAATATTCCTGCCAATTTTGTCATAACTTCGACGCGTCCGCACATCCGGGAAATCGATTTGCGAAGATGAAAAGCATTTAGGACCATCTTAAAAGTGATATTGTGTAGTTCCAGAAAATATCCATACCCCCACCACGGAGGATTTCGGAAATTCCGAGGGGGTTGGGGGTTAAAGTAGCTTGGAAATTCAGTGGGGGTGGGGGATTAATCTGCAATCGATCTACAAAAAATCGATATGCGTAGATATGCGTTATTACCGTATTCCTGACTCGCTGGTCGCTCTTTAAATAAGTTATTTGACGTGAATTTAAATGAAGATTGTGCTTCAAACAGACAGCTTCTCCATAAAATGGGTTTTCTTTCGATTGAAGAAAGAAAATAAAAGTGACAACTGTCAGTAGAATGACTATATAACCGCGCTAAAATTCACGTACACGTTTTTAYAAGTCTGCGAAACTAAAACTCAATACATGTACTTGTATTTAAAAAGAAAGAAAGGTTGATGATAGAAAAAGGCAAAAGAATCCTTCTTTATTGAATAAGTGTATAAATAAGATTCTAGATTCATTTGTTAGTCAAAGCACGTGGTTGTTTACACTCAAGTGACGGTTCGATAATCGGCAAAGATTTATGACCACAAAGAAGCTTGAGCTTTAGGTAAAACACCAAAATCGAACATTTAAGATTTAATATGCTGAAAAAATACATATTTAGGAGGAAAAGATCGATTTCTAGATCGTAAAAGAAGTGCAAATTTTTATATAAACAGTAAGGAAACTACTTTCCGGCCGATAGTTCTTCGAGATTGTACTTCGCAAAGTTCATGTGGTGCTAGACTTCGTTGTTCGATCTCCGC